GCAGGTGGTACCAAAAAAGGATTAATGTAATAGCAGGCAGCACTACTGTGGTGCAACTGGTGCGACAACCAATCGTTGGCAGCTTTGACTCTCTGACTCCCCCCCATGTCAGGACATCAAAACTACGATCGCCAGCAAGTGGCGTTAAAAAAGGATTACTGTAGTAGCGGGCAGCATTATCGTAGGACAACTAGTGTGATCACTTTGACTCGCTACCGTATTCTCGGTTGTCGGAGTGCCTGAACGTTCATCAGCAGGTGGCACTAAAAGAGATTACTGTAGTAGCAAGTAACACAGCAGGACTATCGGTGCGGCAATTAATCGTTGGTAGGTTTGGTGCGCTACCGTATACCCGCGTGTCGGAGTGGCAGAGCGGTCATCCTCAGCTTCCTTTTGTGTTGTTTTACTGTGAATAGGAAGGAAAACGTCGCCGTTTTTGCCACTTAATTGTTGTTATTGTTAGCGGTGTGCTGACTGTGTGCTACCGTACTTTCAAATGCTCCCGCCTCTTTTAACTGGAAATGTTTTCGCAACTCTGAATTCATAGTGTGTGATGGCGCATCCGTGTGATTTTTCCAATTGTTTTGCTGTTGCATTTTCGGGTAGTTAGTCTTCAGAGGAGGAGATTTCGATTTGTCTTGGCATGATGAATGGTTGTTAGTGTAATTAATGCGCCACTCCAGCCCCACTCAGACATGCGTTTTTTTTTTTTTGATATGCAGAATAATGAATAGGAAACTTTGATTCTCAGTTGATTAAGGAAGAGAAGTAAAAGAGCGGAGGTATTAAGATTTGTTGAAGTGATGCAACTTAATGAGAAATTGTTGATGATTTTGATGGTTTTTCATTGACGGTTTTTTTTTTTTATTGTCAGTTTATTCATTTCAATACAACGCTATGATTTCCTTCGCAACGAAAGGCTTACATTATATTACTGAGGCACCAGTAATATTTTTAAGGCGAGGACTAGATCCACAATTATAGTGGCTCCTACCCCCAAATTTTGATAATTAGATAGTATTTCGTGGATTTCTTTTAATCCCAAATAATAGAGGCATCATGGGCGAACGAAGCAGCAGTTTTTTGATACTTTGAGGGACCTTTAGGCTTCTTATACGTATCTTTTACTTCCTTTTTCCCGCAATTTTTTTTCTCGCTTTTCAATCTTTTAAATATCAGCTGACGTTTATTGCCCGGTTTTTATCCCTAAAATGTGTCCACTTCTCGGATGGGGGATAGCTCTAATCCATAGTTTGGTTCTCAACTGTGCAGACGATAACTTTTCCAGTTGCTTTGACAAATGCTACTTCGCGTGATACCCAGCTTGCTGCTAAATTTTGCTTTGTCTCATATTGGAAATACTAGCTCATCAACTCACGACAAAAGCACTTGACAAGACTTTGGCTATTTAAGAGGTCTCGCTTTGGTATTCTAAATACAGGCTTGCTTATTTCGGAGATCTAAATGACACTTCCAGTGTTTTCATTAATTATCAAAATTCGATTGCGTTCCTCTCCACAGTGGGCCAACAACGCCAAACAAACAGCATATGTTAACACATGAACGCGATTTCAGGCCCCCGTCCTCTTCCATTTTCCTAGCCGGAGATATTTGTTGTTTGTATCCTCAAAATTTGCACAATATATTTGGTATTCATTGGGCATCGCCTGTTCGTTCCAAACTTGTCTTGACCGTGATGAGCTGTATTACCATTTGGTTTCTAAATTTTCAGTATTAATCTTAGTTCTGTTTTATTTTTAATTTCTTCGCTTTTGCATGCACAGCAGCAGCAACAGTTTTTTGCATGTGAGTTTAGGTTTTTAACTCAAAAATTTCACCATTTTCTAGGATATGCATCAGCAAGCGGCGCAGCAATCCTATATGGCAGCAGCGGGAAATCCATATCAACAACCATCATCTTCGGCAACTCTATGCTCATCTCAACAGGCGAATATTGCTGCGCAACAGCTGAATTCACTATACAACGCTACTGCTGGAGCATTTCCAATTCCCTGCGAATCACCACTCTTACCTGGACATCAGGTACCATTCTTGTGGTACCATTTTCCGAAGGGCACC